TTAAGACTACCTTTGTAAGAGCAAGTCAATCATATCATCCTAGTGTTACTTGCTATTGTTGTGGTGCAAATGGACACTTTGCTTATGCTTGTTCTTTAAAAAGATTAATAGCTCAAGGTAAAGTGAAACAAATTTGGGTTCCAAAAGGAACCATAAAAACTAACCCCCATGGACCCAAGCAAATTTGGGTACCAAAAATCAAAACCTAATTTTGTTTTGTAGGAAAAGTTGATGGCAAAGTCATAAGGAAAGCAAAGTAGATCTTAAAAAAACTTATGCCTCAACAAGAATGTTGGAATGGAAGTGCAAAGGAAATTTGTTTTTGAATGCTCCACTCATGTGCTCAAATTGGTATTATTTATTTTATTGCATTTATTCATTGAGTATAATTACATTAGCATGACTATTAATTATTGGTTTATGTGTGCTCACTCTTTGGTACATATGCTTGTTGAGTATGATTCCATTTGATGTGTCTTTCCTAGTGCTTGATATGATTTTTGAAATTAATGAATTTGATTATTAGAATTTGTGTATATTGATGCTTTGATTTGTGTACCTAGATTATATTCATGATATTTGATGATGCATTCATTGATATATGACTAAAGTTGCATTATTTAGTAGTGGATGTCCAATTTAAACTTAGTTAAATGAAAAGATATCAAATTAAGGTGCATTCCCTTCAAAACAGCCCCAAACTTTCTGTCTGTCCCAATTAAGGCCAGTACAGCCGGCTCATCCCTTTTCACAGCCGGCTCAACCAAAAACCCGAGAGTATTCTCTCTCTACAGCATAGCCGGCTCTAGGTTCACAACCGACTCAACCCAAAAAACCGAGAGTCTTCTCTCTCTAAACCACAGCCGACTTAACTTGCAGGCAACCCGACCCAGACCCGCTTTTTAGCCGGCTCTGCAATTATAGTCGACTCTCCTACAGATTTTTAAGGCTCGAGTTTCTCTCTCTCCTTGCATAAACCAGTCAGATCTGTTTCATTTTCTCACCTAAACCCACGACCTCTCCTCTCCCAAAACTCGCCATTCACTCTCCCAAACACCTAAATCCCTCCAAATCTCCAAAACCCATCCCTTAAACACTCAAATATCATCAAATCCTTGCCTACCCAACACAAAACCTCAAGCTTTTCACTTCAATTTGTGTGGGATATGTTGTATTTTTGGTGTGGCTGTTGGGATTTCTCTCTCATGGCTTCAAGAAGGGCTGGAAGTAAAAGGAGACAAGTGGGTAGTTCTAGCACCGGTGGTCAAGCTCAAGAAGAAGAAGGTAACATTTCCCAATCCAATCTCTTTTTGGATACCCAAGCCTCTACACAGTATGAAATTATCAAGAATATGGCTGTTTTATCTTGCAATTGTGTCAAATTCAATCAATTTCCTCAAGGAGATATGCGTGTTGAAGAAATGTTTAGGGAACTTGGGTGGAAGGATTATGTAGAAGTTAAAGAGCATGTGTATTAGGAAGTTGTTCATCAATTTTATGCTAATTTGAAACCAAGAGGGAATAAATGCAAAACTATGGTTGCTGGGGTGTCATTTCAGTTTTCTCCAAGGGATATTTGTGCTGTATTAGATATACCTGAAGGAGGAGATGATGAGTTTCTAGATGTGAATCATGCCTTAGTTAGAGCCACAATTGGCCCCAATTGCATTGAAAATCAAATTAAAGTGGGGTTTCTTACACTAGAGAATAGAGTATTGCAGTGGATTATATCTCGCATTATTGCTCAGAGGAAGGGTTCTAAATCTTATGTTCTTACCAGTGATCTTCCCTGATTCGATTATCTTCTTAACAGAAAAAGGGTGAACCTAGGAAGATACATTTTCCGGAGCATAATCAAGCCTTACTCACCAACTACAGGACTTCCTCAGGGTACTTTAATTACCAGATTGGCAAAGAGGAACAACATTGATCTTACATCCTTTAGGTTCGGAATCCTGGTTGGACTACACTTACCAAAGCTTCTTTTGAGAAAATGGACTGTTTGTTTAGAAATGACATTTGGATAAAGAAAGGGGAACAAGAAAGGGATGAAGAAGAAGGTGATACAGATCAAGAAATGGCAGAACAAGGGGCAGAAGAACATGAAGATGACAGCCCAAGACCATTTCAAGCCTCCATGCAAAGAACTAACCGTGAAACCATGGAGTTAATGATATCTGAGATGCAGCAGCTGCCCACCGACTTTTATGGTTTCCGGACAGAAATGAGAGGGAGAATGACTAACGTGGAAGGAAAGCTTGATCAGCTTGTTAATCATTTTTTTCCTCCACCCCCACCTGATGCCAACTGACTTGATATTTCTTTAGTTTGGCTAATCTTTAGAATGGACATCTTAGGGTTATGCATGTTATGGATATGTCTTGAATCTTTTTATCTTGTTCTATGAATGGAAATGGCATCACTTGTGTTAACATGCTTTGTGAATGGTTGTTTATGATTTTGATGATACTATGCTCTTATTGAGGGGGAGTTTATTG